TCCTAATATTTTGAAAAAAGGAGAATGATGGCACTTTATTTTTTTTCTCTCTCCGAGATGGCAAATCCAAGATGGTCGATAGGAAACAGCTACTACTTTCTCACTTTTACCAAATAGACGCATTGAAGACGAATAAAAGAAGCACCAGATATGATTTATACCATACGTATCCCCAACCACTAGTTTTACGTTCCCACTCTCTTTAAATTTTGGAGCAGTACTAATACTGATGGCCGCTAACCCTTTCCACTTACCTTTTACCACACAAACACCTCTTTGTTTTACAATTCCTGTACCATTTTTTTTCGAGCCAGGCCATTGGTAGACAAACAAATTAGTATGTGATGAACCTGCATCTAGTACAATGCCATACTGTAAGGCAAAAAAACAACTAAATATTATATACAGAATAAATTAATAATAAAATGTGATAGAGATAGTTATCTACAAATACTGACATCAATAAATACCAAACAGTATGATACTGCACTAGAAAGTAATGAAAATTAATTGTAGTCTCCTACAGCAGTAGTAGTAGTAGTAAGAGTAGTAGCAGTAGAAGTAGCACCTCTTTGTAAAACCTCTCCCGGTTTCCCCATATCAACCAGCCTGTCAATAGTCCAGCTCCTAGAAGTGTCAACAGAAACCCAGACAGGAACAATATTCTTGTGCACTTTCTTCCTCTTCTTATCGCAGGTTCATCCATCCTCCTCACTTCTTATTTGGTTTGCCCTCTTTTACTGACAAATCTTACTTTGTTATATGACCTCCTGTTAAATGATTTCTCGAGTGTCCACTGTTATTTTGTAGTTTTATGTTTACATGATACTTTCCATCAGTGCTATCTTGTCTTTTGCAAAGGCCGAGGTGACCTAAAAATAAAAATCAAAGACATTTGATATATTGCATGGTGTTATATCAAAATTAGAGACGATTCAATAATCTTATATCAAAATTATTGAACTATCAAAAAATTCTGTCTTCTTTACAAAATACTTATAATATATTATACAAAAATACATCTTACAATAATAAAAGTATATATGCAAATTCTGAATACCACCAACTTCAATGATCTGTAAACTCCTATTGTTTTTGTTCAATTTTATGTTCTGTTTTTCCATTTTGTATTTTGAAGATTAAAATCTATAAAAATTAGTGTTAAAGATCTATTTAATCACACTGTTTTAATTGCCTAGTTAAACCATAACAACTATAACAACTCCCTGGTCAAACTTAATCGTTCATCATATATCATTTAAACACTTTAAACCAAAATTTAGACCAAAATTAAACCATAATAAAACTTCTCTTCTCACAAAATACAGTATTTCTGAAATATTGACGATAGTATTTAAAAAACAAATCTTTATGCTTCTATTCTAGGCCTAGAGGCCATGGTCATACTCTATTTCAACCAGCAGTCTAAAAAGATAGAGTAACAATCGATGTCGGTTGGATCTAGCCTACACAAACAGAGTTGGTTTGACCTAGCCTACTGTAGCCTGAGTATGCTTTGGATAAATTTTGTAGGCTGACGATACAAGGCCTGTCACAACTTCAAGGCCCTAGCCTAGCCCTAGCCATGGAGGTTTATACCTCCATGCCCTAGCTATAACAACTCCCTGCTAAGACCAAGACCTAGGCTCGGCCTAGATGATGAAATGAAACAGACATTTACCCCACACATTACAATCTGTAAGATCGAATACACTAATCCCTAAAAAGCTAAATAGAAAGGTATAGGATACACAGGCAGTTTATTAAAAGCAAAGTTTCAAAATTCTAACACTCACTTGAGTCCGAAAAAAACAAACAAAACTCGGTGATTCCCCTTGCCGCTGTCTTTCCTCGACTCAACTGATCATCCACCTCTCGACCCTCGGAATGTAAACAAACCAGGATGACCTCTCTACACGCGGCTGCTCTTTGCTGCGTATACGAGGCAAAACGATGACGTCATGATGATTTGTAGATGGAATAAGTACTCTGTATTGCAATGTACTGTAAATTGTTATCTTTACCTTTAATGATTATTTATTACAGCGGTGGTGGTACATGGTGTAGTAATTAGTTGATTTTTTGGTAGGGGCTTTTTGAAAATTTGAGTAGTATGTTTTCTTTTAAATTAAATGATACCATTCATAATCTGAATTTTTAATTGTAAATTTGATATCAATCAACCAAATAATAATACTAATATTAACTAATGATGAGTAATGCTACTAGGCGTAGGTCTACTAATAATAATTAATATTTTGTTACAGTAATAATAATAGTAATAATAATAATACTTATTGTAATTATTATAGTATAGTTATATATACATGTCATTATGTCTTCATTACTGTACAGTGTAATTATTGATAATATAATTGATAATACAGATTGGGGAAACATTACAATCCAAACGGTTCTTTTTAGAAACAAATGTCATTAATTGAGGTTTATAGCATATGCCACATGGTGTGCTGAAAGCATATACAGTAATAATAATTATTATTGATATTATTAATTTATTGATTATATTATATAGAAATGTTTTACATCATAATAATAAAGCATTTTCAAGTATACTATTAGCATATACACATTAGAGTCACGTCAAAAAAGAAAATTTTATGACATAGAATCTCATGATTTTATATCAAAACTTATGCTTCACCGTTAGTAAAATATTCCACAAAGTTTGGAAACAGAATATTTATCTTATCTCATTGGCGTAGATATTTTATCTAAATTCTAAAGAGCTTGTGTTCAGTGAAGCAAGGACAGTGTATCATAAATTTGAGAGTAAACAATGATATAAAATCCAGAAGATTAAATCCCTCCCTTTGCTTTCTGGTTTCGATAGTGCCTATTTATACATGCAAATCATGTTGAACGCAGAATAGAATAGCTAGCGAGTCAAATAAATTATTCAAATGAGACCAAAGTAATTGTGACGTCACGTTGGAACAACAAGTGTGTATTGAGCCTCCGAGCTTTTGCGTTCGGTCTAATATTACCAGAAATTAGAAATGGACAAGTATAGCATCCAGGTAAGTACAGTTTTTGAATTTTTAGCAGTTTACTCTTGAATATATATAGTTCAATAATGTGATATTCATAGGTTTTTAGACGGTTTTGTTTGTCCGAGTTTTAGTGATATTATTGGCGGTCTCTCGCTTGTTTGCCTCAATACCAAGGCAGTAATCAAAGTTTGCTATTCAAGTTTGACCTTGTTTTTACGTGCACAAAGTCGTAATGTCCTTGGCAAAGTTTCTAAATATTCGTTTATTTTTATAAGTAAAAAAATAATTTATTTTTCTCTTAATATATTTTACAGTTTATTGGCTCACCATGCGGGGAACACGGTTCATATACGTTTTATAAGGGCTTCAAATATTGTAAAGATGGTATATGGAAGGTGTTGAATTTGGGCGAATTTTTCTATGTACGAACATCCCGTACAGCACCGATTTCTATTGCTGAGCTTCAGTTACTGTGGGCCGACAGGGGAAATGGTGGCCACTTGTTATCTAGCTGTCGACTGTATTACCTACCAGATCATATTCCTAATGGCAGAACACAATTTCATGGACAGGTTTGCCAAATATTTATTTTAAACAATATTTATGACAATTATCTATTCAAAAATAAATTACCCTAATAATACCAGCCTGTAATTAATTAGGAAATTGCTATCTAACTTCAATTTGGCCTGCCATAGGGCATTTGTATTGTATGGCCTACCTATAATTCTTTAAATTATTTATTGTTTATCACAAAAAATCAAATATTAGTATATTAACCTTTGCCACTTCTACTAATTAATGAAGTTGGCTTTCCATGGAATAGACAACTGTTAATTTAGGATTTAAAAAGTGTAATTCCTTTGTTAAAACGCACACTTTCAATTTCCTGTTTTCTTTCAAAACACATACATTGCCATTTTTGTTTAAAAATCCAATACACATTCAAGGGTTAAATTTTCAATATTGAATTTGAATATTATTTTGTTTTACAACAGTTCATTTATTTCCACAGATGAGTTTAATATTTTTGTTATGCAAAATATGATATTGATTAATTCTCCAACATAAATAATTAATTAATACTTTTGATCCAGTTAGTCTACATATTCTTGTATTTCATTTATATTACAAGAAATATTTATGATGATATTGTTTTAGTCTTATTATGTCTATTTGCTGGTGGTATTTCATGGGTTAGTATTTTATACTATAGTTTAATGTGAAGCCTCAATCTAAATTTCAGTATAATTTGAACAGTGTCTGTTAAGTAATATTAATATTGAATGTGATAAAGTTATATATTTTAAATATATCCAACATATATTTTTAGCAAATTATACTATCATACTGTAATATCAAATATTATTCAACTTTAATAAATCAATTAATGATTTTTCAAAATTCAGATTTATACTTACAGAATGAAATACTTAAATAGTTTTTAGTTGATTAATGGTTAAGATTATACTGACAAAGTAAAATTTTGAAATATATACTATAATTTTTGTATTATGTCTGTTTTAACTGAATTGTGGGCATAGGTATTGTGTTGTATTGTAGGTAAGGTCTTTCACGCTTAGTGGATGCAATGTATGGGCCAGAGATTAGGCACAATACACCCGAACAATAGTTTAACTCACTGTCTATGCTTTCTTTTATCATGTTATAACAAGAGCGAGTCGTTCAATCAAACATTCCAATGTGTACCACAGATAGGTAACTTGGGATATATCATATTTAATTATCTTAACAATTTTGAATATTAATAAGGACATCCTTTCTTGTATTAATTAATTAAAACCATTTAGCATATAGAATGTTGATTCCAATTAATTGGAATGCATTTGTAGATCAGTGGACTTGAATTAATCCACATCATCATTATATTAAATCATTTTTCTCACATTGTTCAGGCATATACATTTGATCAGTTTTGCTTTTTTACAAATTTACAGAAAGTGAAATAATTTTCCACTAATACTATACAAATTGAAAGACAGATTTTTAAAATGAAAACTGTAGAGTTCAAGGTGTTTGGCCCATCATGAAACTATTTTTTAAGATCAAGGGTAATTAAGAAGTATATTAGACTCAAGAGAAAAATTGGTTCATTTATTTTTTAGATATTTGTTACATTTTTGTATTCCGTATAATATTCTAGATTTGGTTTTGTTGACATTAACAATATTTTAGTTAAACTCTAGTGCATGTGTTAAGTAATTTGAAATAATAAATTGAAACTTGTTCTTGTTTGTATAACATTACTGATTTGAATTTCATTGTCAAAAAAAATGTTTAGAAACAGATTAAGTAAGAACTATTTTTGGCAGTCGCCTTTTTATTTATTTTCAAGTTGATAGGTGGTGAAGTACTGTATATATGTTTCACACTTTTAACATCAAACTCTTAGCTCATAATTTTATGAGAAATATTTGGGAAATATTTTATCCGTTTACTTGTCCGAGTATTGTAGGAAATAATTAATGTTATGGTTTTTTAAAAAATTTAGAAGTAATTTAATAGTGATTTATTACTCTGGCAATTAATTAATTACTCTTGGAAGATACTCTAATATTAATTAAATAATTGGTTTTTGTAAATTTACATTAGTTGTCAAATATTCTAATTATTTATAACTGGGATACCAACTCCTATAAAATATATTTGAAATCTTCATCAAAATTTGGAATAATTTTAATTTTTTTTTTAACTCTGTTAAATGCAGCATTCCTGGTTGGTAATAATTAGTTAAGAAGACAGCCTTGCTGTGCTCAAGATAAAACAGCCCCTCCTGGCATGGCAGGGGTATAGCTTTACACCTTTGCAAAGTCTTTACCAGATGTGAACTGGTAGTGCAAGAGCACAGAGCCAGATACATTGGATGCTTATATTACTGAAATTTAATACATCTGCGATTAGAGCTCTATAGAATTCTTCAAACTTAACTCAAGATCTGACTTAATCCTTTCATCAGTATTCATGCAAATTCTTGCCGGAGCTTTTAAGCTATATTTAATTTTCTTATTATTCAGTAAATTGTATGTAGAATTACACAGATGTTATGTTAGTTGTTTGTGGGCCTATAGATTTTTATTTTTTATGTAAAAAAATAATTTCAAGAATGTTTTTTTTTTTTAAATCCAAATAACAGGTACTGTAATGACATTGACATTAAACACTTGACATGAAAATCATTCTAGATCTGGAATGCTTAGAATGTTGTGGCAATTTTTTCAGCAAGTATATTTGCCAAATTACATGATGCAAAATGTAATTCTTCATACACTATTAACTTATTTTTTAATTTTAAGGAGTGGTCATTTTTTATTGTCAGAAATTGTTGACCTACACAGGATTTTAACTGATGACCCTGTGAATAATAGGCAAGCCAATGATATTAGTAGAGATCACCATGATATGAGAAAACTTTACACGTTATTATTCAACATAATTCAATTTGAAAAAAATCTGAATTTGTGGGCCTATAGATTTTTATTTTTTATGTAAAAAAATAATTTCAAGAATGTTTTTTTTTTTTAAATCCAAATAACAGGTACTGTAATGACATTGACATTAAACACTTGACATGAAAATCATTCTAGATCTGGAATGCTTAGAATGTTGTGGCAATTTTTTCAGCAAGTATATTTGCCAAATTACATGATGCAAAATGTAATTCTTCATACACTATTAACTTATTTTTTAATTTTAAGGAGTGGTCATTTTTTATTGTCAGAAATTGTTGACCTACACAGGATTTTAACTGATGACCCTGTGAATATCAGGCAAGCATCTCAGGCACCATCGTTGTACTCATTTTCGGGATCAGCCATATTGATTAAATTTTACTTCCATTAGTGATTATTTTTCTGTTATTTTCTTGTACTGTATTTATTTATTTATTTAAAAAAAATACTGAATGTAGTCATTATTCTAGTTACCAGTGCTTTGTTTAAATTAAATAATTGCCAATGATATTAGTAGAGATCACCATGATATAAGAAAACTTTACACGCTATTAATCAACATAATTCAATTTGAAAAAAATCTGAATATAGAATGTTTAACAACATCAGTGAGCATGTGACCAAGACCCCTTTATACTTACTCTGTCCCGCCTCTGAATCCATTCCAAATTTAATTACTTGGACAAGTCCATGTACTGTACTTTATTACTTATATTCCATGCTTAGTTTCCTATGACAGATCAGAGAAGACAATTTTAGGTTTAACATTTTGTCACGGTTCACTGAACTATAAGATGGTCCAAATAAAGTGTGACCCCTGAATCACCTTACGAGATGGACCAATTGCTAGGTGGGTCTCCAAGACGACCTTATGAGATTGTCAAACTTTTTGGTGGGTCCAGCAACAGCACCTTACGAGCTGAATTGCTAAGAAGATGGTCCTAAGCCACCTTACTTACGAGATGGCCCAATTGCTAGGTGGTTCCTGGGCCACCTGACGAGATGATCAAGTTGCTAGGAGGGTCTTGGGCCACCTTAAGAGATTGCCCAAGTAGGAGGAATGTCTACAGCCACCTAAAATCATAAGTGCATAGCATCTTAATGGTTTGGTTGCCTTTCAAGTTTACGCCAGTCTAAATAATTTTATTGCAACTAAAAACTTGCCTGTCCAAGCCTATTTATAAACGCACAAGATTATAGAATATATATTAGGGTCCAACCTGATCAGCATTGGGGAGCGCTCCTTTAAATATAATACAAAATAATACGCATTTTAAATATTTGTTATTAATTTTACCATATTAAATTAAATTTTATTAATAAATGCTTCGAAAATATGTGCCTTCAGAAATTACTGTCTTCTACTGTAAGTTTAATTTTTACTTTGTATCATTTTCACATTTTATCAGATTAAAAAAAATTTACATATTCTTTTTATCAGACTTGATTTGACCTTTAAACCTAAATGTGTTACTCAATACTGTAGTATCTTTGTGACGTTTCACTGTGTAACTAAGCAAATGGATTATGAATACGTCCTGGTGATAACACTTGATCAGAAAAAAAAACATTTCATTTTAACTATACAAGCCCTACTAACAGTCTTTACAAACCCAAATTATTTTTATATAATTTAAAGTGGTTTTACTTTATTAATATATGTTTTTGTATAATTTAATTGATTTAGATAATGTGTTGTGTTAGCACCCATACATTCTCCTTCTCATTTTGTTACCAGATCAATCATTACATTAATTATTAATAATTAATATACATAATAATTAATATGAATTCTTTACAGACTGTCATACTAAATCAATGTAATAATTAGTACTGCGATTGTTATTAACATGTAACTTTAAAATCACTACGCAATCTTTTGTTGTGTTTATTTCAGTAGTATTTCATTTGTATCAGTTGTTTAAATACTGGTATATTTATTTCTCCAGTCATAAAAAATACAAAAATTCATTAGATACTGGTATGACAGAACATTAAACATTCACAAAATATATATTTTTAGTATAGTAAAACTATAATTCTATAAATAGAAATATTAAAATGTACTGCAGTTTTATAATATTCTTTGAAATTTATTGTTT